CAGAACTGATGCTCAGCTAGTTCCTGAGCTGTGCTGCCTCCCGGCCAACCCTCCAGTTCTATACCGAGCATGACGTCATATGGTATGGAATATCCCTTTGGCCAGTTTGGGGCAGCTGGCCTGGCTGTGTCCCCTCCCAGCTTCTGGGGTGCCTTCTCATTGGCAGGGCAGTACGAGAAGCTGAAAAGTCCTTGACTGCTCGGCAACAACTAAAATATTAGTGTGTTATCAGCATTCTTCCCACCCTAAATCCAAAGCACAGCACTACACCAGCTGCTGGGAATAAAATTAACTCTATGCCTTCTTAAACTAGGACACAGTGGGGAAAAAAAAAAAAATCTCATCGCTGAGGATGACTTATTCTAGATGGTGATAGGAATAATACACAAGTAAAAGCTGAGCAAACAGATCCCCAATATTAACAGGGTGATCTGGACTGGGGGAAGTTTTCCCTGACACTAGGATTCCTCCTCTGAATTCAAGTCTTTGAAGCCAAGCTCTACAAAAAGTGTTTTTAATTCCTTACTCGTTACGATGACCAAGAGCAGCTGCATGTGTGTGTTTGCTACAGTAAGAAACAAAACTGCAGTACACAACACAACCGACGTCTTTGATCTGAACACTGCCTGGACTTCATTAAACCTTGAATTTAAACTTGAGCTCCAGAAGATAAACCGAAGTAGTCTAACGTGGAATCTCAAGAGAAGCAAGCGTGGCAGGAAAATCTGGTATTGGAGCGGTAGCACAATCTGGATTAACCGTATTATGAAACTGAACCTAAACTGTGTACTGCTAGGGAAATGGATAGTCCTGCTCTCACATCAGATCGAGCGAATTATTTGGCTAGTTGACCAGAAACGGTGGCGCAGGCAGTACATGCGTGAGACACACTGGGTTCAGTCGCATCAAAAAGGGGATTCAAATCACCAAGTGGTCACAAACCCCCGTGAAAGTCAGAGGGGAAGAATGCATGTCCTGGGACAGTAATCCCAAATTACAAACCACCACCACCCCAGAAAAAAGAAAAAAAAAACCCGCATCCCCAAAATTCACCAGTGTAAGAGACTGTTAGTGAGCAGAAATAGTTGCATTTACTTTCCTTCCTGAAGGAGATGGCATTGCTAATTTCTAGTAGGTGCTACGACCTGTTGTAAAGCAGGAATTAATGAACCTGGTCCCTGGGCAGCAGCATCACCTAACAGCTACTGCCAGATGGGATAAAGGGCTGGATGAACCCAGCTCAGCGACGCGTCACTTCAACGTAGGTACACTCCTATTAGTTACTTTACGTTCAGCAAGTTACTTTTTCTAAGCAAAATCTGAAGTGCTGGGTTTAAGCTCCGTGTTAATCAAGCTCTCCAGACCTACCAGTTGAATTTGCTACAGCCACGCAAGAGATGCTGATCTCAAGCCTGAGGTTATTGCCCAGTACATTTCATTTTCGGCTCCGGTAGGCCAGCTTGCTTTTTGTGTTGCTAATACAAAGCATTCGACTTAAGAAAAACTAAGGTTTTGTATTATACTCTTGAGAAAATAGCAAGTAAATACAGCTGTTAACATACAAATCTGAAACAAAGACCTAAAAACCACCTTATAATATAAACGTTATAAAGGACTTCACAAAACAACTCAGAAATTGAAATGCGGACGTACACGCAATGATATGCCTTAAACAGACATCTAAACTTTGAATATATTTGTCACCAACGAGTAAGGAGCCACGTCACGTCCCTCCATCCCATACAGTTAAACTCCTCCCCAGGAGGATGTCCACACGATCACAACTTGTTTCTAGTATTCAAAATCTCAGCTGCAACTGAATTGCCCAGGAAACAGAATTGCTATGGGGAGAAAAGAAAAAAAAAAAAAAGAAAAAAAAAAAAAGGTAAACTATTTTAGGAACTGAAATTCAGGCTATTTTTTTTTTTTTTTTTAATGTGAAAGAGGAACCCAAAGCCACTTCTTCCATAGAATGAGAACACTTTAAATCGGTATTAAATCTCTCTTGCATGTAAACTGTATTATTTTTTTTCCTGATAACACAGCATGTGAGACTTAAGCAGATTTTTTTTCTCTCACTATTAAATTAGCCCACATTCAAGTTTGATGTTTTCCCCGCAGCTCCCAAACACCACAAATGAATAAGAATTTACATTTTTTAATATTACAATTTCTTTGACACAAGGCAACTGTGGATACTAAGAATCTTGGAAGACTTTAAACGGTGCTTGCAAAACTGGCTGAGGAAAAGCATGCTTCTCTGAAAAACAAACAAATCACCAAAAAACTCCCAAACCCTTAAGTTATTTTAAATCTATTCATATTTGTTTGCCAATAGTTTCCTCAAAAATCCTCTCACCCAACAAGCAGGCATAGACATTTCCGAGAGGACCACCCCCGTTTTATCAAAAGAACACTTAGGAGACCCCAGAGCAATAAACTGCTCCGGTGGATTATCACCCCGCAGGACAGCTAACTCCCCGCACGACCCGTTTCCCACCTGTCAGCTCCAGAAGCAGCCGCCCAGGCAACGCGGAGTAGGACGACAAGCTGCAACACCTATTTAATCCAAAGCCTGTAGACTTTGGACTATTCCTTTCTAGGCGATGCCCAAACCTGCACGTGCAGGCAGCTAGCGGGGCCACCAGGAGCTATCGCTCACTCCAAACGCTTTTTGGTTTGCTCTTTCGTCTTTGAGGGACTCCCAGGTACACGCGAACTGTTAACTCTGCAGGAGTTATGTCAACAATACTTAGATGGATAGCTTCTCAAATCTGCTGGAAAATATAAGCCCAAATAACTAAACTCTCAGCATTAACAAAAAAAAGCAAGTCACCTTTTCTCCTCCCCTTCCTCTGTTAACATTAAACAGCATCAACTAAAAGATCCATCCAAAATTGGACCGACACCTGACCATTCTGGCAAAGTATTAATGCAAAAAAAGCAGTTCTCATTGAAAGTCGTTGATTAAATTGCTTTTATTTTCATGCTGCTGCACATTAAAGTAAAAAATGCAGTGTACTCGAGGCAGGCGGTGAGAAAGCTGGAGATTAAGTAATTTGCTCAGAATACAGTGAGTGTCTGTTAATGAAAATCTATCACACTTGAAAAGCCAAACGAGGAGCAGAGAGGTGGTGCCGTAAGATTCCTCAGGAATAAAACCAAGACGGCACTCTATCAATGCAGTCATAGACAGCTCGTCACTAACAGGAGTCACGGGGCGCCTCCGGGACCACAGCCATCCCAACGGACGCTCTCAGAGAGGCAACGGTTTACCCCTCAGATGTAGGTGCAGCACTACGCGCTTCAATGTCATCAACTGCACAGACCCCCAAGCCCTTCGCCTCCCGGTACGAATTCTTCTGCCTTGAACAGTTTAACTGCATGGTCATGGTATTCCTCACCCCAAGCCTCTTTGAAGAAAAAGAACTTAGTATCACCTTTGAGTACCAAAATCTCTAGTTTGGTTTTCTAATATACCCAAGAAAGAACAAATAAAGTTCCTTTATCAATACTTCAGTTTCAGGTTATTAAAAAAAAATATTAAAAATATCAGCCTAATTATTTTTTTGTGTAGGTGGTTACAGCACTATTGACTGATGCGTGAAACAGAATTCCGAAGTACAGGGTAAAACAAGTAGTTAATTATATTGAAATGCATTTATAGCAACTTTAACAGGGTTGTTATCAAGTAGACAGAAGCGACATCTCCAATCAGCTAAGCGTTAGTTGCTCACCTTTTATATTTCTGTTGTTCGGGATGCTCCAAGACAAGTCTTCCTTAATTTTTAGTCGATAGCTATGAACTGACTGGCATCAAAAGGACGTGATAACATTTTGTCTAGCATTAGTTTTCTCTGTGACAAGCTACTCCATTTAAAAAGACTTTACTCTGCACAACCCTGTCAGACAGCATTCATAACTAGAGCCGAGCAAATTATGAATAATGTGATTTATTCCATAATTTTTGGCTCTCTGTTCAAGATACTAAAGCAGATAATACATCTCTATTAATCCTCTTTGGAAATCTTCAGACAAATTCACTCATGTGTTTAGAGCTCACTCAGAACCTCTCGAAAGAAGTTAGGAGCAAATAAGCTCTGTAGGGGTCTTAGCATAGAGGTGAAATCTGTTCGCTGCCTGCATATTTTCTTCTCCGTAACTCATTTCGCGATCTGCAAGACTTATCAAAAAGTACACCACATAACTCATTTCCAGACCGGTCCATCAGAATCCTTAACCAAGTCTCAGGTGAAAATTTAAAGTTTTTATAGAATATAATTTCAGCAGTAAATTTCTTCACAGAAACTTTCATCAGCAGTTGAGAGGGGAGAATATAAAAAAAAAAAAAGTAAGTTTCAAATGTGTGCTCCTGTCTAAGTACTGCTTCCATGAAGTATTGTAACTAACAAAAAACAGTACAAAAGTGTCTTTTTGACTGGAGTGTACAAACTGAAACTAATCACAGGTGGACTACGCTCTCAAACACACTAGGGGTGTGACTGAAACAGAAAGGTAGTCAACCGAAAAGTGAACACCTACAAACCAAGAAATCAGATAGAGTGCAAAACGGGTTAAAAAAAAAAAAAAAGGCAAAAAACCAAACCCCAAACACACCAAAACCCCACCCGAAACCACCACACCCCACCACTTATACCGTACTAACCATGAAAATCAGAAACGCTCCTAAGTTCAGCATTAAGTTGAGTAAGAAAGGAACCTGAACAGCACTATGCTTCTCGGTCCAGCTCCAGACTCTACCCAGTAACGTACTCACCAAACTTGCTTTCACGTGGAGTGGACAGAAATTTTAGACTCTTAAAAACCCCTCACATATACACTACTTCAGTCAAGGTAGTATCCCCAGTGTTTGTTTCCTAGATTTGCTACTGTAAGTATTTAGGTCATGTACTGAAGAGAAAAAGGGAAGGGAAGGCAGATGACTTTTTAACCAAATATAACCCACATGTAATATTTAAAAATCAAGACTAAAAGCAGGCATCATTTAATGTATTTTAATAGCAAACTTACAGGAACAGCACAGAAGACAGACAACATTAAAAACATGTACTTGCATGTAGGACAACTCAGTTAGAAAAGTATAGTGAATGGATGGAATCTACTGTATGATAAAAATGCTACAAACACCATTTAGTTGCCATTGATAAGAAATTTACTTGTTTAAAAAAATCCAAATGCTGGCATTGTCCAGAAAAATTTGACAGGTTTATTTATATTTTTTTTTATAAAGTTGACTTGTTGAAACTTGTTTACTGAAACATTTTTTTGACCGCATTGATGTTTTATGTCCCCTCGTTTATATTAAAAATCCACACACAAATGAAAATGGAAAAAAACTTGCCAATACCCAATTCTGTCCCCTATTTTTCCATTTGCAACCATATACTTAGGTACCTTTTAACCCCATGGAAAAAATATCTAACGTTCATTACTACCAATAACAGGAAGAAGATTTTGCTTCGAGAATGACAAACCCATCTTAGTGAAGTTTAGGCACGCTCTCCACGTATGCGGCGTGCTAGCTGGATATCTTTTGGCATGATTGTGACACGTTTGGCATGGATAGCACACAGGTTGGTATCTTCAAACAGGCCAACCAAGTAGGCTTCACTTGCCTCCTAGTGAAGAAGAAAAGAGTTAAGAGCATTTTCAGTCTCTGAGCACTAGGAAAAATAATAATAATAAATCAAAGTACAATGTAACATGGCATTAAGTTTAGGCTTCTAGCTTTATTACTTGTAAACATCAGAAGCGTTAGATTCTCAAGAAATAAAAACCTCCGTTCGCTTATAAACCACCAAATAATATTCTATGTCAAAGTTGCCTTCTATTGCCGTTCGGTGAAGACATCCTCCGGAAGACAACTGAACCAATGTTCTGACAGGACTCTCACAAGATAAGGGGTTATCTTATCAAAAGGTTCATTTGTTTAGGAACTTCTCTTTTTAAAGACTGGGTTACACTATTTGAATGACTTGTCCGCTGCCTCTTCCAGAGTAAGAGCTATCGAGCACCAAGTGAAATCGGCAGGTGCTAGGGAAAAGAAGAGCAGGTATTCCTTCACACACACACAGTGCAGGAACACAGCTCCTTCCCACAGGGTACTGAAGGGGCATCTTAATTCAAAAGTCAAAAGTTAGCAAGGAAAAATTGTATAGAGAATTATTAGATCTAAGACAACAACTCCTTCGATTCAGGAACTCCTTGACGGGACAGCAGTCTGAAAAATGCCATCAGGCACTTGTCCTACTCCTATACCTTCTTCCTGCCTAAGCACCCCCAGTCTATTTGGGGCACACAGCACAGCCCCCCACTATCACAGGAGGTTCTCACCTCACACCTGTGAGAATCACCGAGTCAGCACTCGGGAGGGCAAAGGACAAGCCCTGTCCTGGGAAAACTACAACCCTGACCACAGTGTTTTCTGTTCCTGAACCACTGCAGACAGGATTCTGGGTTGGACAGATGTTCCGTTGGACCTAATCATGCTTCTGGCTCGTGTTAAGTTAGCTCCTTATTAAGCCTAGCCCAGCAACGGTAACCGTTTATACATTTTTGGGTTGATACAGAATTCTAACACCTAACAACATCCTAGGAAGCATCTTGGCATCCCAGCATCAGGCCAGCATGCGGACCAGGGCACAGCACACAGGAATGACGCGGCTTGCTCACAGAAAGGAGGTTGAGGTCCACCTTTCTAGGATACATGCAAGAAAACAGTTTGTGTGAACCATTTCATTACCAGGAACCACAAAATCAACTTACTAAGTTCAAAGTTCCTGCCTAAAAACATAGAGCATTTAATCCAAAGAAAGAAAAATATTTACTACAGCAGATGAGGACTACAGTATTAGTAAGCCGTTCCATATCCAGTAGGATATGGCTGCCAAAAGTTCCCCTAACACAGTTTTGCTAAATCACTACGTGAAAAGTTAAGACACTTCATCAAATAAGCCATGAACAACACGGTACTAAAGGGGTTAAAAGTGTTTTTTGCAAATACGCAAGCAGGAAGCACTAGGAACAGTACATGAACAAGTTCTATACCAACAACTCCTTAATGCAAAACCAGCCATCTGAAAATAAGTATTAACTACCGACTAAATTTTAATAAGCAGTTGCTGATAAAAGGATACATAGGTAAACCTCAGGATTTAGGAACTACCACATTCACTCACAGCAGTGAGGACGGAACAACAACTAAAAGCAAAAGCAGCAACTTTGTAAATGCCCGCAGCCGCCTTTCGAAGCTAAGCACGTGCTCAAGTTTATAGCATCTCGTGCCATACGTTTTAGCCCTTATCAAGTGGGAGTCATTAACCAGAAAGACAATTTTTCCTGGTTAGCAGATATTCTACACTTGCAGATAGGTTCTGGAACAATCTTTCAACAGCTAAAAGAATGGTAAAGACCTATCTTTAATCAGGAGTGTATTTCTATCACAAGAGGGAAACGTTCCCTTGACAAGGACACAGTCTTGGAGGGGACCTAACTTAGATGCAGGAATTTCATCCTCAGTACACTCTAAATAACTTATTTAACTAATATATTTTAAAAAAATATGCTTAGCGTCAACTACCTCGTACAAAAGCACTTATTTCCCTATCCACGTTTAGATGCGCCTTACCCAGCTGCTGTTCTTTAAAGACCATTTCAGGACATCAAGACCTCCATTTGGACGCACCAGAACGAGCCTTATTACGTGACAACGCTTTCCTCTCAGACTGCACAGCTTTCAAAAGCAAAGCCTCTACCAAAGCTCGAGGACAGAGGAAACGGATTCATGTGAAAAGTGCCTTGATGAGATGCACTGTTCTGTCAAGCGCAACTACTTGCAGGGTGGGGATATTAAAAAAAATAAAGAACCACCACCCCACAACGTAAAAAAAAAAATCCCCAAACAACAAAACCAACAACAAACACCCCCCCCAACCACGTTTATAGCCTCTGTAAGGAGCTGCTGACCTGTCACTGCGTTCTTTGAGGCAGCGGTACCGCCGGGCATCACCAGGTGGGCTGTGAGCAAGGGCAGGCTGGGGGGGGGGGGGGGGGGCAACCCCCCCACCTCACTCAGCCCCTCCCGGGAGGGGCCACGCCCACCGCGGCAGCCCACCAATCAGGAGGGGCTGGAGCTAACCCTAGAAACAGCCTGGCCAATGGGGAGCGGGAGGCGGGACCCTCCCTCACCTGCAATTGTCTCCAGGTTTTTGGGGGGCACTCCCAGCACTGACCCCTGCGGTGGGGGTACGTGTGTGTGTGGGGGGGGTGTCCTTCCCCCGGGGACCCCCCCTCCCCAGGACGCAGGGACGCTCACCTGCAAAGCACCGATGGCAGCGCTCTGGAAGCGCAGATCTGTTTTGAAGTCCTGAGCAATTTCACGCACCAGGCGCTGGAAGGGAAGTTTGCGGATCAGAAGTTCGGTAGACTTTTGATAGCGCCTGATTTCACGGAGAGCCACGGTACCCGGCCTTTTAAAATTAAATGATAAATAAATAAATAAAAGAATTAGTATTCATAATAGACTCTACATCACCTTAAATACGCAGGTTCACCATCTAACCTAAACTAAGCGCCGTACACGTGCTGTTTTCACTAGAACAGTCCCAGCGTTTCCAATACAAAACCAGTTTCGCTGGCAAACGGTCGCCGTTTTCTCACCATCGATCTGCGCAAACTTCCACTGGCCTCAACGGGGACGCCGCGGGCAGGGACGTGACGCCCTGACTTCGCTAAGAGGTGGGCAGCGCGCGTTCCCGAACTGACGCTAACAAATCTCAGCGCAG